AACAGTCAACTCCTTGGAGTAGAAGGGGGGCTTTAGGAGTCGCAGGCGGGCCGGAGGAAGATCTGCCATCGTGGGGACAGAAGGCTTTCCTCTCCATTTGGTGCACTCCAAGCAGGTTCTCTGAATTTCTTCACGGCCTGTCTCCCACGTAGGATCCAGTATTGCCGCCTGAGCTCGGCGAAGACTCTGTCGGGCCCGGGTGGAGCAGGCGTGCGTCCATGTCTTTGATGAGGAGTCCCGTGACAGTGTGCCTGGGATCAAGCACAACTGGGTGGATGTCAGTAGGACGGATTCATGCCTAAGTCGACCTCCAACTTGAATAAGACCAGACTCCAGGTCTATCTCTGGAGCAAGTGAACTCAGCTTACTGCTGGGGAACACAGGCTTACTAGCCTTTAGGCGCTTGACTTCTTCAGGAAAGCTCTCTGCTTGGCTGGTCTTCAGCAGGAGGACCTCCGCGTGACGGAGATTAGGAGGCCCTGATGAGGGTCTGCGGCCGCCCCGTGAAGCGACTGGTGCGTAGCCCTAACCAGGTCTGCCCAGTTGTTGAACTGTGAGGTGTCTAGAAGTGGGTCTGGAGGGCGTGTTTGCATGAGGCCGCAGAAGATTGTCTGCTTGAGCTCAGAGGTATCTGCTGGGTTGACGGAGTCGGAACCGAAGGCCATTCTTGTGGTGGAGAGCGGAGGAATGCTGGACCCTGGATCCATCGATTTGAAGTGGTTAGCTCGGCCAAGGTCTTACCCCGTTAGGTCGTCAGCCGGATTGTTTGTCGTATCTACGTACTGCCAGGTGTGAGAAGCAGTCAGGTCTTGGATCTCGGAGACTCTGGTCCCAACGAAAACCTGAACCTGCAGGACTCAGATGTCAGCCAGGTCAGGACTGTAGTGGAGTCGGTCCAAAGATAAGTCTCTGGTGTTTAGAGTGAGCTCTCGATGGATGAGGGAGGACAGCTGAGCCCTGTTAGCGCTGCGCAGAGCTCTAGACGTGGCATTGACTGTTGGCGTTTTTGGGGCTACTCTTGACTGGCCATGACGAAAGAGACGTGCACTGCCTTGTTGACGGTGGTTGTGGTGAGATAAGCGAGAACCATACGCCTGTTCCGAGGCGTCACAGAAGACATGGAGAGTGTACTCTGTAGCTTCAGTAGCCACTTCCGATGGATTGATGTTCGGGGAATGGACACACCAGCCAGTTCAGGAAGCTCACTCTCCAGCTCGACCAGGCCTTGATGATCTCTGGAGGAAGATTAGGGTCGTCCCAGCTCCTCTTCTTGGCCCACAACCTTTGAACGAGAACTTTAGCTCTTGTTGTGTAAGGGATGATGATCCCAAGCGGGTCGTATTGCCGGGCGAGCACCTAGTAGACGTGGCGCATGGTGAGTGTTTGACTCTCCGGAGGCTTGGCTCGGAAGCCGAGTTGGTCAGTTGGACAATACCAGCGCAGGCCCAGCGTTGGCTCTTGCGGGTCAGGGCCTTTCTCTG